GTGAAGGTTGGCTATGGTGGATGGGTGCAGGTGATGGAGGTGGAAGAAGGTAGGTAAAGGTTGGCTATGGAGGACGGGTGTGGGTGATGGAGGTGGAAGAAGGTAAGTAAAGGTTGGCCATGGTGGATGGGTGTGGGTGACGGAGGTGGAAGAAGGTAAGTGAAGGTTGGCCATGGTGGATGGGTAAGGGTGATGGAGGTGGAAGAAGGTAAGCGAAGGTTGGCTATGGTGGATGGGTGCGGTTGATCAGCAAGGGGTAGGGGTGGACTGAACAGGTCACCGGGGACTACAACACATGCACATACACATACCGGGTGTCACCGGTTGCAGCAAAGAGAGAGGATGGACTGAACAGGTTACCGGGGACGGCAACTCATACACATACTAATTACCGTCAATTGACAAGCTTGGAAGTGTCAAACCTAGTGGAAAGTTCACCGAAGTATCCCGAGGCAATTCACAACTTGCCCACGTATCAAGATCAGCACAAACACAAGTTTGAGAGCATCTAAACTAGTGGAAGGTTCTCCAAAGTATCTCAAGGTAACTCGCAACTCACACATACATCAAGATCAGCACAAACACAAATTTGAGAGCATCTGAACTAGTGGAAGGTTCATCGAAGTATCCTAAGGTAATTCGCAACTCACACACACATCAAGATCAGTACAAACACACGTTTGAGAGCATCTGAACTAGTGGAAGGTTCACCGAGGCATCTCAAGGTAACTCGCAACTCACACATACATCAAGATCAGCACAAACAAAAGTTTGAGAGCATCTGAACTAGTGGAAGGTTCATCGAAGTATCCCAAGGTAATTCGTAACTCACACACACATCAAGATCAGTACAAACACAAGTTTGAGAGCATCTGAACTAGTGGAAGGTTCTCCAAAGTATCTCAAGGTAACTCACAACTCACACATACATCAAGATCAGCACAAACAAAAGTTTGAAAGCATCTGAACTAGTGGAAGGTTCATCGAAGTATCCCAAGGTAATTCGCAACTCACACACACATCAAGATCAGTACAAACACAAGTTTGAGAGCATCTGAACTAGTGGAAGGTTCACCAAAGTATCTCAAGGTAACTCGCAACTCACACATAGATCAAGATCAGCACAAACACAAGTTTGAGAGCATCTGAACTAGTGGAAGGTTCATCGAAGTATCCCAGGATGAAGCGCAACACACATAGGCATCCAAATCAGCAAAATCACAAGATTGATGATATCTACACTAGGGGAATGATCACCGAAGTATCCCAGGATGAAGCGCAACACACATAGGCATCCAAATCAGCAAAAACACAAGGTTGATGACATCTACACTAGGGAAATGATCACCGAAGTATCCCAGGATGAAGCGCAACACACATAGGCAAAAACACAAGATTGGTGACATCTACACTAGGGGAATGATCACCAAAGTATCCCAGGATGAAGCGCAACACACATAGGCATCCAAATCTGCAAAAACATAAGATTGATGACATCTAAACTAGGGGAATGATCACCGAAGTATCCCAGGATGAATTGCAACACACATAGGCATCCAAATCAGCAAAAACACAAGATTGATGACATCTACACTAGGGGAATGATCACCGAAGTATCCCAGGATGAAGCGCAANATAGGCATCCAAATCAGCAAAAACACAAGATTGATGACATCTACACTAGGGGAATGATCACCGAAGTATCCCAGGATGAAGCGCAACACACATAGTCATCCAAATCAGCAAAAACACAAGATTGATGATATCTACACTAGGGGAATGATCACCGAAGTATCCCAGGATGAAGCGCAACACACATAGGCGTCCAAATCAGCAAAAACACAAGATTGATGACATCTACACCAGGGAAATGATCACCAAAGTATCCCAGGATGAAGCGCAACAAACATAGGCATCCAAATCAGCAAAAACACAAGATTAGTGACATCTACACTAGGGGAATGATCACAGAAGTATCCCAGGATGAAGCGCAATACACATAGGCATCCAAATCAGCGAAAACACAAGATTTGGAAGGAGGAAGCAGATGAAGAAGGGGGAGGAGGAGAGGGAGAGGAAGGAGAGGAAGAAGGAGAAGGAGAAAAAGATGAGAGAGAAAGAAGAAGAAGAAGGAGGAGATGAAGAAGAGGAAGGAGAAGAAGGAGAAACTCCCTCCTCTTTCACTCACCTCTCACTGGTCTTTACTCAATGGGCTTCCAAGCTTGGTTCTAGCTCCTTGGGTATGACTTCCCCACCCCTCCAGTTCTCTCCCCCTTCTCTCACACCTCCTTCCAGGTTATGGCAAACTCCAACTCTAAGGCTAAGGAGTCCTTCCCTCTAGAAGGGCGAAGGGGACCCCTTTCAACCTCTCTTCCTACCTCACAGCCTGAGGGCTATGGCGGATCACTTCCCTTGCTTCTCTCTAGCCTCTAGACCTTCTCCCTCAGCCCTATCACCATAGCCAGGCTCCAGGCTAGCTCCAGCTCCTTCTCCCTTGCTCTATTCCACTAGGACTCTCTCATGGACTCATTTGGGCAGCATGGGCTCCTCTCATGCTCAAATAAGAGTGGCGGCCTGCATTCTCAGCTTATATAGGCTGGAACTGGTGCACCGCCCAACCCCTAGGCCTCCCCAAGTATCTCTAGGTGGAGCGAGGTACCCCTAAGGCCAAATTTCCGGTTTTGGCCTATCTGGAGGTATCTGGGCCTCATTTTGGTCAAGTGCATGCAGTCCGAGTGGCTGGTACCCTCTCGGACTACCCCTTGGCCTACCTTGGCCTCTCTTTACTTCAAAAAGAGCTTCCTTTTGGGGTACCTTTTCCCAAAATGCAGCCTTTACTGAAATTTGAGGGCCTAGAGGCCCATTTTTCGTCTTTTTCCTGGTCTGGGCCTTTTTTGGGTAGGCCGTTGCATTTTTCCAAGTGACGGCTCCAATCTCAGCCTTGGATTTGACTGAGATCCATGGTTCTCAGCATTCCGAGCTACCCCCAAACTCCCCTTGACCCAAATTTGAGTCTTTTACTTCAGTCTTCAATTTTTTTGGTGTATCTGGCTCAATCCTTGGGCCAAATACACCAGTTTTGTCTTGTACCTCTCTTTGTTTTCTCTCCATCTTGCTGCCAACTCATTCCGGAGCTAGCCGTTTTGTGTCAGCCCATAAAAAACGGCTACATCTCCTCCTCCGCAAGATCAGATTTCAGATCTAGGGCCCAAAAATGAGCCGGCCAACTCACATTAGCATTTTTCTTTATTTTTGCTGCTTAAATTCAGATATTGCAAAGATAATGCCCTAAGGACCTTATCTCTGCAATCCGGACTGGCCTCCTAGGATCTAGGAGGGATGAGGTCATCATTGAGACCTGCCAGTCCCTACCGCTGCAGTCCCAACCTGGCGGCACATTTTTCTCCACCCTTTCCTCCTCCTTTGTCTCATCTTCCCCTTTTCTCTCTCCTTTCTCTTTTATTACAGTTGGGACAAGTGTCCAACGGTTATTCCTCCTCTTTCTAGCTGTTGGACCTTTCCTGAGGCCTGTTTTTGTAGCCGGTATATGGCCGTTACACCTCGGACTGCAGTAGTGGCATCCCCAAGGCCCAAGGGGGCTCCTTTTTGTTGCCGCACTTTCCAGTTTGAGACCCCCTTGCTCCGATTTTCTCCGGCCAGCCTTTTCTCCGCGTGGAGCCTTCGGAACTTCGTTTTTCTTGGCCCGGCTAATCTGTAATAACCCGGACTGCTGGCCGGCCTCCTCATTACCACTATTTCCCCCTTCTTTCTCCCCTCGGCACCTCCCGTCGGCGCTTGCTGCGGCGGTACTTAGTATTTTCATCCGAACACCTGGCCACGACGGTCCCGTTCACCTGACACTATGATATCTTATTTTTATCATTGTTGCGCTTGATCCAGGGTCCTCCTGGGTCACCCCACGTGCCCTCCGTCTTTCCCGTCTCACGCTTGCCTCCTTCGTTCCGTCGACAATTTCCGTCAGCGTCCGACTTCTCCTCTTTTTCTTATTGTTCCTAGCCCCCCGCTATTTGCCGGTCGCCGATTATTCCGTCGACGGCTCCGACCTTCAGCCCTCGTCGGCGGCTCCCGACACTTTACCCCGTCGATACCCGTCCTGCTAGTGGTTCCGCTAGTGCCGCTATTTTATCTAGGCCCACGCGGTCCCTGGCACTTCGGCCCGCCTGCATTACATCTTTCCCCCGGTCTCACGCGGTTCCCGGTACTTCGTCCTGTTGGCACCATGCCGTCCCTCGGTCTCGCGTGGTCCCCGACACTTTGTCCTGCCAATACCGCCCCGTCCTTCGATCCCATGTGGTCCCCGACACTCCTGCCCCACCTGTACCACGTCTTTCCTTGACGCTCCTGACGTCCTTCTGCCTTACGACGATCTCCGCTCCCCGTTCCTCTTGCGTCCCGCACGCTGTTCCGTTTCCGGGTGCCAACCCCCATCCAACCGGCGGCCTCCTTGGCCCTCTTACCGCCATGTCACGTCAACGCCTTGCGCCCTGTCCTTCTAGCCTCCCCCGACACCTCCTCTCCTTCTTCTGGGACCCAGGCAATGGCGGCGTCTCGCTAGTTTCCCTGCTCATCTCGTGGCTCTGGGGCATACTCCATGACTCTGCCGGCATTGCCTCTATCATCTGGGTACTCGGCCCTGCTAGCATCTCACCCCCCTCGGGCCGGTACGAGGGAGTGTCCAATCTCAGCGGCCTACCCTCGCGGACCCCTCCCATCGCAGTCATCCCCTCGTCCCTATGCGGGTCAGAAGGTTGGGGAATCACGGCAGTCGCTGACCCGCCCATAACCTCCTGCTGCTGCACTGAGATGTGTTCTCCTGAGTGAGTCCCAGTGGCCCAAGAGCCTAACCTCGTCCTCAGCTCCCCCATCTCTGGCACACGCTCTGGGGCCTCCTGTCCCTGAGACCCTCCTGGTGGCATCTCCAACTCCACAGCCGCCACTAACTCATCGAAACGAGATACCTCCCCTTCCATCGCCTCAGGCTCCGCGGACGCTGCTGCCCCTGTGAGGGTGCCCTCCCGCACCTCCAAAAGGATCGTAGGGGACTCCTCCATGGGGCCCCCTTCCCCCACTGGAGGTTGGGGTCTTTGTGTCGGCTCGCCCTCAGGGACCTCAATTGTCATAGGGGTAGCTTGTTGCGAGGCCAACTTCGTGGGTGTCCTGAAGCTGAACCTCCCCTCTTCGGCCTCCCGCCGTGCTGCCACCTCTATTGGGTCCATGAATACCTTCCCCATACCTCCTTGCTGAGGTGGCTCTGTCGTCTCTTCCCAGCCAAAGAGCCCTGTACCTCTTCCCCTGGATACCATACCGGCTCTGCTCCGTCCAGTCAACCACCTTAGTGGCCGAGAGCCTCTCCACCATCGCCGCCATGTCCTGGAGCCTCTTCTCCCATTCCGCTTCCTTGACTTCCATACGGGACCTCCATGCTTGGTTCTCTGCCCTCTCTTCTGCCAACTGGGTGGACAACTGTCCCACCTCTAACCTCGAGGCTGCCAACTCATCGCTGAGCATGGAGTACCGCTGGAAGGACGAGATCGCCACTTTACCTATCCTCCTATCTGCACGCTCAATCTCCATCCTGGCGGCTGAAAGTCCCAAGTCCCCTGTCTCTCGTGCCTAGTCCACCCTCGCATTCTCCTGTCCCACCTCTCGTGACCTCAGGTGAGCATCATCCCTCTCACCCTCATAGCTCGCTCACGCCTCGCTAATCCTCTGCTCGCTCGTCGGAGGGTCAATCGGTGGCTTCGGCGCTTCTCCTGTGGCCTCCATCCTAATCTTCTCCTGGTATAGCCCCTCGAGGCGTACCCGCACCCTCGCGTGCTTCTCTTCTTTCGTCTCCCCTGATGGCCTCCTTGCCCGCGCCTCATGGGCCCCTCGCAGTGGGTCTCTCTCACTCGTCCCCTCCTCTAAGGGCGGCGGCCCTGGCGGAGGCTGCCCAAATGTCAACACCTCCACGTCCATGCGCTCACTTGTAGGCTCAATTAGTTGTGGTGTCATAATGGTAGGTGTCCTCGCCCTCTCGCCCTCCTCTGGCCCCACCTGCGTCGGAGGTGGCGTAGTAGCTTCGGATGGAGGCCCCAACATCTCCTCGTTGTCCGGCTCAGGAATTCCTTCAGGCCAATACTGCCGCGCCTGCTCCGGAATCGGGGCAGGGGGAGGGGTATCATCCCCAACCATGATAACCCCCTCAGTATGTGGCTCCTCGGGTCCTCGAGGCCCTGCCTCAGGCCCCGGCTCAGGCGGCTCCTCCTCCGGCTCATCCTCTACTGGCTCATACCGTGCCGGTCCGCTCTGGTCTGCTCCCAGTTGTGATGCCCCCCACTGGGATGCATCGAGATGGACCTCCAGACTGTCGAGCGGCGTCCTCAATGGCACAACCTCTCCCTCCTCTGGTAATGTCGGCGATGGGCCCCGTAGATCACTGCCCGTGATCCCGCGAAACTTCACCCGCTCGAGTCCACGAGTAGTGGGTAACTCCGCCGTCTGAGCTCGACCCGCGGCCCGAACTGGCTCCACCGGCTGGGCGGCCTCCGCTGGTCCCTCTCGTTATGCCAAGGCCTTTCGGCCCCCTCTGGTCATAGTGGTTCCTCTCCCTTCTGGGTCTCGCGGCCTCTTACTCCTCTGTCGTTTCTCCACCCTGGGCTCTGGTCTCTCGGGCTCCAGTCGTCGAAATGCCTGTCTCAACTGAAACTGGCAGTCCTCCCAATCGCGTGCCCTGTCTCGAATCTGTCTCGCCATCGGCCTCTCCGCCATCCGCGTCCAGAGGGGCAACGCCTGCATCCACTCCTCCAGCCCAGCCCCCTGGTCGCGCATATACTGTTCGTAGGAAGGGATGAACTCCTCCGCGTTGCCTTCCTCCAATCGGATAGGCAGCCCATCTGGTCCCAGCGGTGAAGTCCTCATCCCCTGTATCCTCGACTCCACATCCTGCCAGGTCAAAGCCTCCTCCCGGATGTGCGCAATAGGCTTCCTCAAAACGCCCAACTCCCCTCAGGTGCCGTATCCTCTCCAAAGTAGACCAGCCCTCCCGTGCCGCATGTGCCTGATAGGAGTCCAGAAAGATCTCTATGTTATCATCGTCGAAGACAGGCGTAGACTCCCTCTCAAATGGTCTGCGCGATTCATCCCCTCCTGATGCTCCCTGAGGCCTCTATCGTGGCCGCGCGCCCCATCCCGCCTCTCTGCATGGCTGTCTTCGAAAAGTCAGACCTGCACAACAGGCGAGAGAAAAGCAAGCAGGCACACAACAAGGTTAGCCCTCGGTTCATCAAGTTTTTATGATAACACACATGCCTTTTCCTACTCCCTTACCTGCCTTGACCATAACATGCAACACCTCAAGGACTAGTTCACTCCGAGGAATGTAGAATTCTTTACCTATTCCCTGGCCACGAATTTCTTCAGCCTGGTCCCTGATACCCAATCCTGCCAGTCTGACTCGTCCAACTCCTCGATCGGATAGGCCCCGAATTCGCCACATCGCAAGATCCTATAGGGGCCCATCCATCTCTTGTCGAGCTTCCTCGACCATTGCTTCTCCAGAGAGGAGTCGTACAGTAACACGACGTCCCCCACTGCCAACGACGACTTCCTTACTCGCGCCATCTGGTCCCACCTCATCTTGTCTTCCATGCGACTCCTCTCTACTTGACCAGCGGCCTCTCGCAATCTTTCCTCGGCCGCCCCCACTTGCCGCGCCCGAATATCGAGCAGTTCTTCGAAGGACAGGTTCGCTTCCAAGTCTTGGCGCCTCCACGTCTTCATAAAGCTTTCTATGGGAAAGGTGGCGTGCCTCCCATACCATAGTGTGGCTGGCACGTACTTGGTAGTCTTTACAGTAACATTCTCTACGAAGAAAGCTGCCCGTAGGAACTTTGGCCACTGACCAGGCTTGCCCTCTGTCCACTTAGCCAGGAGATTCGTGATGGTACTGTGCCCCCTTTCCACAGGAGCGTTTGCTTGAGGGTGCGCGGCCGTAGTATAGTTGGCCACTACCCCATACCCTGCAAGCAAGGTTCGCACTTCATTGCAAGTAAACTCCGACCCTCGATCCATCACGAACTCCTTGACAAAAGGATAGCGCAGGTAATACTCTTCGATGCAATTCGCCAGAACTGGGCCAGTCTTCGTCCGAATAGCTCGACCGTCCACAAACCCAATAAGGTTATCTCGTGCATCGAAGATATAGTTACACCCATTCTCCCTCGCTGGCATGAATAACAGGTCCAGGTGTACGACCGCACCCACCTCCCTTTCCAACCTTGGGTGCAGGGGTTCTCCCGGCCTCTGCCCTGACCTTTCTTGGCAAGGTATACAGGACCGGCAGTATTTGATAACCATCGTCAGCATCCCATCCCAATGGTAGAGCTCGCTTATCTTCACACATGTGGCACTTATTCCTTTGTGCCCCCTTGTTATACCATCGTGTAGGGCTGCTATGATATCAATTTGCCGGTTCCTCCCACATACTATCCTCTTGGGGTTCCCGATCTGCCGCTTTATAAACAGGTGGTCGTCTCTTACCACATAGAGGTGCCTCATCTTCTGTGCCTTGACACTTGCATCTCTATCCCTCATTTCACATGATAGGAGCAACCCCAATTCCCGGTAGATCCCATCGTACTCCTCCGCCCGAAACGCCTCCTTGATTTCTCCTTCCTTGAATTCATCGTCCTGACTTACAGGAACTAGAATCTCATCTTCCTCATGACTGAACGTGCCCTTCCGGTCGAAGTCTCTTTGCAGGAGCGTATTGGTGAGCAGGTACATCCCTCCCATTAGCTGCTCATGCTCCTCTACTTGAGTGGGGCCTTCCTCTATCGTCCTCACTTCCTCCACCAGGCTGTGTGTACCAGCCAAAGCCAACTTCATCATCCAAAGGAAATCCTTGCTTCCCCATGGATCCTCCTCCTGAAAGGGCTTGAGGATTAACTCTTCATTCTGCTCGTACCCCTTTGGTGCTTGCCGTATGGGGTGACTGACGCAACTGGGCACTCGCAGGGACCATTCATTTATGTGCAGACGGATGTCCTCTTCTTGATCCAAAAACCCATCAACTGGCGGGGTGTCTTCTATCGATTCCTCGTCCGATCCGTCCCAGTTGATGCGGCTTAACCCATCTGCCCTGTTCTTGTTCCTTGGGATCCTTTCCAACTCGAAATTAAACATCAAAATGTAGGTCAACCATCTTGCGACGGTTGGGTCAGATGAAGTATAATTCTTCAGGGAACATACCAGTGTAGTAGGGTCCACCCTCAAGATGAGCCTCCTGCCAAAAACATAGTTTCGGAAGGTCCTTAGGCAATGAAGTACCGCCAGCGTCTCCTTCTTGAACTGAGAGTAGTTCCTCTCAGTTGTATTCAGGGTACGACTTTCGAATCTTAGTGGTCTCTCCTTCCCCTCAGTATCTGCCTAGATCAGTACTCCTCCCATGGCAGTTGGCCCAGCGTCCGTTTCAATGACGAATGGTCTCTCCTCCGTGACCTCATAGTTTGGCGCTCCCAATACCAAGCCTCCTTCATTAAACTCTTCCTTCATCCTACCGACCGCCTCTTTCTGGTCTTCGCCCCAGACCCATTCCTGATCCTAATGCACCAACTTCCTTAAATGCTCCGTCTTCGTGGCGAAGTCCTTCACGAAACTCCTCCAAAATCCGCACGTCCCAAGGAAGCGTCTCACATCCGTTATCGAGCGGAAGGGCACCGGCCACTCAAAAATTTTGTCTGTCTTTTTTACATCAGGCCTTCGCCCACTCTCATTACAGACAAAGCCTAGGATCGTGGCCTCCCTCATACAATGCTTCGATTTGGGGCCGCTCGCCGTCAGGTTGTGTTCTTTCAATAACCCCATAACCTGATCGATGTCCTGGATGTGTTTCCAGACAAAGCGCCGCACTCCGGGCATCACTTCGTCCTCCTTCCTCTCCTTCGGACCTTTGACTGCCAGGTCATCGATGTAGGGCTGGGTAATATGTGGACTAACCGTCTGCATGGCTCTAATCATGTGTCTTTGCACCATCGCCACCGCATTCGTCCAACCTTGAGGCGCCACGTTCATATGAATCAGCCCTCTGGGTGTGTGCGTCGCTGTTACTGGTCTGTCCTGCGGGTGTACGGGGAATTGGTCGTACCCCGAGTAGAGGTCTATAAGCGAAATTATAGGCCTCCCTGCGCACGACTCTGACAATGCGTCCGCATTCGGCAACCCCCTCGCATCCCGCATTGTCACAACATTTAACCGTTGTAAGTCCTGCACCCATCACAACGTCTCATTTGGCTTAATAAAGCAGAACCAGGGCGACGCATACGGCCCGCTGGAGTAATCGGTGACGTGCGTGCGTATCTTGCCATCCAAGTAGTCCACCACCATCTTTTCTTCGTCCCGATTTGGGTATCGCGCGCCCCTTAGATTCCATGGCTTGTGCGAAACGGTGTGGATTCGTATCATCGGAATCTTATCCACATCCAGCCTCCCACACTCGTCGTCATTGATCGCATACGCGCGGTGCCTTTTCTTCATCAGCCCCACCATCAACGCTCTCTCCTGTGGCGATAGGAAGTCGGGCTCCCCGATAATCAACTTCCCTTCATTCTGATCGTTGATACGGCACGGCCCGGCCAACGCGTGCTCCCGCATACACCGTATCAATCCTCGCTCCCGCTCGTAATAGGCTTCCTCATCCTCTGTGACGAGCACGGGAACTGGGCGGCACTTCTTATCTACGGCCTTGTACCGCCTTTGGGAGCCCTGCTTAAGCCCTCCCCTAAAAAAGGCCGACTTGTCGTTCGGGCCTGGGCCATTGCAGGACCTCCTCTCCCTCCTGGAAGCCGATACACCAACTCCACCTCCCCCACTTGAGGGTTCTCCAGAACCTTCTCCCTCAATGCCTTAATGGCCTCCGGGTCCGCCATGTCGTGAGCCGACACCACCTCCATGGCCTTGTTCATATCTGTGAGGCTTAGTGTCAGCACCTCAGCCTTATCCTCCTCCTCGAGCACTTCCCAAAGCCGTCTTCGCTCGTTCTCCGATTCCTCAAAGGTGAACGAGCCGAGATTAGGCCTGTTTCTTCCGCTCCCCGGCCCCGTGTTTCGGTAGGTGATAACTTCGTAGTTCCCGCACGCTGATCGCGTAGGAGTAGGATCATCGTCCCGTCGTGCTTATTAAAAATCAGCATTTCCGTTCGCCACAGGAACGACCGCCCCAGAAGAATGGGGTGATTGACATCGGGCATGACGAAGAAGCAAGTCCTGGCTCGCACCTTCCCAATCTCTATAATCACATTAGACGTCGTGCCGCAAAAAGCGGCCTTACAGTTAGCGTCGTGCAACATTTAATGGTTAGAGCAGTCGATCTCCATGCCTATCATCACCGCCTCCTTCTCCCTGATGATGTTCATTTCTGCGCCCGTGTCCACCATCCCAGTGCACTTCTGGTTCTTTATCACCAGATCCACCTGCCCGCACGCCACACATTTCCAATCCATCCTTGTCCCTGCCTCAGTCCACTCCACCTCCCTGGGCAGGACCGTACTCAGGTGGACATTTGGTACCAGCCTTCGCGAGAGTCGCCCTTTCAACTCACCACGGAGCCTTGGCGCCGACGCCAAGATATCCTTCAAGTTCATCAAGTCATTGTGGCCTTCCAGGAGCTTGTCCACCATCCGCTCCACATCAAAACCTTCTTCCATCCGGACCGCGTACTTCTTCCTCTTAGGCACGCTGTCAGGCAGGCTTGGCTCGGCCTCCTGCCGGGCTCCTCTCTTTTTAGCCCTCAGCTCCGCCCGCTGATCCTCCTCTTGTCGGAGCCTCTCATCCTCTTCATCGTCATCCTCTTCCTCTTCCTCCGGGATCTCCACCACCTCCTTTCTACGTCCTGGCTCAGGCTCCTTTCGAGGAGGTGCCTGATTGGGTGCCTGACTGGGCTCTTGGCTAGGCCCGACCTTATTTTGGCTTCTGGTCCGAGCCGACTGTGGCAACCTCCCATGCGACGTGGGGGGTCTATAGGCCATACCTGACCTAGGGCCCGTCCCTACGGCCGCCACTCTTGGGTACCCATGTTGTCCTGGCGACGGCTCAGGTCCGGAGTCGTAGAGGAAGACCTCAAGCAGGTTGGCCTCCCACTCTCGGGTTTCGTCACACAGTGCCTGCAACTTCCGCTGTTATCTTCCCACCTTTTCGAGCAGATCTTCCATCCTCCCCAGGAGGACTATGGCCGACTCTCCTTCGCCTTCCTGCCCCTCGTCATCCAATTCGATGACTATTGACTCCTCCCTTATAGTCCCCGCCTTTAGTCGCTGAGTGACCTCCTCACTATCCCCTACAATCTCCTCGACTCTTACGATCAGCTCTTTCTTCTCTTGCCACATCCTAAACATTGTCGGGGGTGTTGTGGGCCCTGTTGCTGCTCGTCGGAGAGCCTCTTGCCTGATTCCTCCCGAGGTTGTGGGGTCAATATGCTCACCCCACTTATCATATATATCCCCATCCATACAAGAGGAGATTAACCCTGACAATTCATCCTCTCGCCGCGCTCGCAGAATCGCACAGTGTGGCCTATATTGGCACAATGCCAACAGGTGGCATTTCGCCAATCAAAGCGGGGCCTCCCATACCCTTGGCCCCCTTCCTGGCCGCCTCGGTCACCTTCGTTCTGGCCCCTTTGACCATTCCAACCACCCCCACGACCCCCACCATTTCCTCCTCGGCCCCGGCCGCCACCTCCTCGACCCCCTTGACCTCGGCCTCCATTGCCTTGTCCGCCGTGTCCTTGGTTTCCTCCCCGAGCCACGCGAGCCTACGAGGCCTGTTGGGAGGGAGGTGGTTGGGCCACAAACTGACCCTGAGCCGCAGGGTAGCTCAGGGGCCCCATACTTGCCGCTGGGCCCGCATAAGGGACCATTTGCCTGGGGTGAGTTTGACCACCTCCGCACGAGGTGCAGTGATTGCAACTGGGCCAGGATGCCGGCTGACAATGCGGCACCCAGTGCCCACAAACTGACGGCGGCCCCACATGTGATGGTCCTGCTGACGCCGGCGCCGTCGCGGTGGTAGGTGGCGGGGCAGCAACAGCTTGCGGGGCTTGCCCTTTTCCTGATCCCTGGCCTCCCGTTAGTAAGTTGCGTTGTTTCCTCTCGGCCTTAGTCAGGATCTGGGAGCCTGTCTCTTCTCTGCCATAGTCCTCGTGCCCCGCCTCCCCATCCATCGCTCCTGATGCCCGACCTTGGGCCACGATCACCCCTTTCTTCCGCACCTCGGCCTCATCGTCGTACCCCAATGCCGCCAGTACATCCGTGACAATCTTCTTTACCCTCGGTGTCCCAGACGCGCTGACATCTCTCTCCTTCCTCTTACGTCTTTGCAACCGTACCTGGTGCTCCTCCACCTGATCCAGACTCCCCTCTTCCACTCCCTTGTCGATAGTGGCCCAAGTGAGCTTCTCACTTCCTCCCCCGTGGCTTGTCAATTCTGAGGCCTCCGAGCCTATGAGCGACCCCAGGAAGATGGCACACTGTGCCTCCTCTGACATCCCGTGCACCTTCCTTGCCTTCTTCTTAAACTCGTGTACGAAGGCCCCGATCGTGGAGAAATCCTCCTTATTCATTGCCTCCAAATCCGCCATGGTCAGCAACCCATCTCCCAGACTGTACTTCCTCCGCATCAGGTCCCCGAACCTCGCCCAACTACCATTGGCGGCGTCCACAACCTTGCCTACCTCCTGGTGGTGGCTATGAAGGACGTATCTCATAATCCGTTGAAACCTTACTTCGTTCGTCAATCCTGCCAGTGCCTGCTCAACCAGGTCTAGACAGTCTGACACCCGATCCCCCTTGAAATGGAATGTCTCGACCTTCGGGACATTGCTCGACGCTTTCTCGCGCTTATCCAAGGCATCTATAAGGTCGTCGAGCGTCACGAGCCTTCTCCCACCGTCCGCCATTTCCTCTGACATTATGACTGACTGCCTTTGGCTTCAATCCCCCTGTTATAAGAAGCGATAGGATGAAAGGTTCCACTCAGCAGTCCATTCCTTCACGGTCCTATCGGACCGACCACCTAAACACCCGACGCTCTAGACCTAGCAGACATTTCTCTCTCTACTTCCTACCTCCTTTGGGTTCATCTAGGTAAGGCCCAATCTCATCACGGAATTCACTCACATACTCAGCTCATTCATGCTATCAGCCAAACCACCAATCAGATCAACATTCACACCCACACAGCCATATAGACTACTATACGATCCATCTCATAGTTCTTCTCTTATCCGCTCACATGCCTAGTTTTCTCTCATTCTCATACCCGGATGTCGTTCCACCAGAGACAACGGTAGGCTTCCGTTATCCCCGGCAACGGCGCCACCTGCCGAGCGCTTCGGTCCGGCACCGCACGTGGCAGCACGGGACCCTCTCGGCCGCGTCACGCAGGAGTTGGACCAACCTCGTCACGAACGGACAAATGGAGCTTCCTTAGGCTGCTCCAGCCGAGTGCGCCAGCCATACCTCTCGCGAGCCCCTACGACAGGATAGGGCCTACGTGAGGCACAACTTACCTCCACCTTACGGGAGTTATCACCTCCCTTCAGAGGGCGTATCACCGCCGAGCTACCAGTCCACAGTACGAAAGCTACTCGGTTGCAATCGCAGAGGTGGACCAGCCGAGGGCATTTCTCGTTCGCTGTAGCATAGGGGGTACGCGCGGTAACACGCCTATCAGACCCGCACGCGAGCTGACATCCCGGCGGGGGGCTGAAGTCCCAAGCGTGGCCCGTCGTCGGTCGACTAGGACGCATCCCACACATCACGCGCACACCACTTTACGAACACCAAAATAACACACACACGCACAAACGAAACGACACGACACAAACAACGCGACAACACTCTTAGCCCCTCGGTAGTCAACCCATAACTCTCCGATGCAAAATCGGATAGGCGTCGCGCGCGAGACTTAACATAAGATGGCGCAGACGCAGGGCTAACTCATATCGACTCACAATGCAAACGTACGCAAGCAGTCGCAACAATGGTGTACCATGTAGTACCCATACTCGCGCGGCCCTCATTAATTTCGAGGGTCGCGTTCGACACTCAAGTGTCGGCTGACACGCTCCTTGAGGGTTAATCTCTCGACGCTAGACAACCGCCATGCGCGGTTGAAGACCACACACCCTCTTCTGCACCCTTGTGCAGAGCGGGTGGTACACAGGTCCAAAACCTGTGGTGGTAGTCGTCTCTCGCGGCCCTAGGGGTAAGTCCTCCCTGCGGCCTGGGCGAAAGTCAAGGGGTTTAACTTTGACGGCTGCCACGGACTACAACCTTCAACCTTAAAAATTTCTAGAAAGCAAACAAAACACATGCAAAACCCAGAAGGGGGGGGGGGGGGAATAGGGCGAAGGTCCCCTTGCAAAAAAAAAGGGGGGCTCGTGGCCTTGGGGTACCCTTCCCCTCTACAGGTGGTGCTGGCGGCCTACAATAGTCCCAAGCGCTGCGCCTACATGTGAGCCCGGCGATCCCATAACTTTTAGACGCCGGGACGGCGAAACGTCGCGCGCAGGAATCTAACATAAAGCCGCACGGCCACAGGCCAATTCTATACCAACCACCGATGCCAATCGTACGTGGTAATCGCGGCTCCGACCTCGCGATATTGAATGGCTGAAGGAATATATCGCGAGGGGTTACCCCTCACGATATTGAAAGGCTGAAGGATGCACCGTTCGTCCCTCGCGACATCTCTGCCTTCAGGGTTGGGTGTCTCGACGGGCAATGCAAAAAGGCTCTGCGCGAGGGGAAGTCCCTCCTCTGCAGAGCCTAGGGCCTGGGATGTCCTGGACAAGGACCTTGAATCCCAGCTCAGGACCAACGTCCAACTAAGGAACTCCCAAGAAGCAGCGACAAAAAAAAACTAAAAGGAAGGGCCCTCCTTATGTCCCCTCCGTACTAGCCTTTAGTATGGGGCCCCTTAGGCCTCACGAACCCCCACAGTAAATACACCCAAGCATACACACATAGGGGGGATAGAGTTGCGATGATCACTGCTCACAGACACAGTGGGGCTTCTTACAGCCATAAGTACATATATGAGATCGCAGGCAACCCCAAATCCAAATCTGAGCCACAAGGTCTACCTGCAATCACATCAAAGAATTGGGCAGCGAACCACACATTACACGGAGTCAACCCCAACCAATCTTCACACTTATACCCCTCGCTTTGGCCATGCAAACCCCAATCTCCCGCCCAACCAACCATAATTCAATACTCAACACCTTTGTTAAATGACCATTTAATAAAAGTCCGGGTGAAACCCTCAACAAACAATAAAGTCGTCAGGGCTAAAACCTTTTAGGTTTGGTATGAAGAGTGAGTTGGAATTGAGTCGTAGACCGACGAATCGGCAACCGACCTGTTATTAGTCATAACAGAAGGTGATCCTTGTAGGATCAAGCTGAATCTAGTCGAAGTCCTGAATCAAACGGCCAAATGGACCTGTAACACAAGACAGGCCAATCCCCAGACTAACCTATAAGTCCATGGAGAATAAAACTCCAAAACACATTCTCACTCAAGACTATCGGCCAACCAAGTCTAAGTCTACCTCTAAGCCAGTGCCCAAAGCAAAGGTAGACTAACCGCAGGATCTCCCTTATTCAGGGTGGATTGCCAGAATCGCCATCTGTCAAAATATAATCTAACTCCTCTAAATCGAGAAAATTTCGGCAGCGCTTTCCGTAGGAAAAGTGCCGTTTCAGAATTTATATCTGCCCAAATATGAAAACCTAAATAGTCTTTGACTTTCCAAAGTCCAATTTTGTCTAACTCCCTGAATTAGCAAAAATTTGGGTATCACTCCCTTTAGAAAATGAGACTTTCCAGATTTTTACTAAGTCATATATAAACTTTAGACAAGTTGAACTTAGACAAGTCAAAATTTGACGAACTCCCTGGACTTGTAGACATTTCGGCAGCGCTTCCCGTAGAGAAAGTAGCTTACCAAAATTCATATCAAGCCAAGTACAACAAAAGATCCCAGAAAATACGATAATTGACCTAAGTAAAAAAACTCAGCTAAAAAAATGCAGGAATTGACCTAACTTCTATCGCTTAATCGCGAGGTGAGCCTCTAAAGCAACTACCTCTCAACCTGACACTCAAACCAAGTAATAGCCTCACTCAATCTCATGCAGACCAAACCACAAAGGTAAGTACTCTCGCCACCCCAAGTCAAACTTTGCAAACAATAGTTCGTAATATCTCGATGCTTTATTCCCTTATACCCTGCTTACATAGGGCATAAAGTCAAGTCGTCCAATCTTATGGAACGTGCCTCACTCAACCATTGAGTATACACGAACAAGTTGCACAACTACTTCTCTCTTCCTTTTGGGCATATGACTAAGCCGTTCATCTTAGAATAAGGCTTAGTCGCCCTGAACTATTTAATATCCAACTTATATATACCTCTCTCAGCTTGGTGTTCAAAAGCTGGGCACAGTTCTGAGCCGTTCATCTTAGAACAAGGCCCGGCCTGCCCAGGGTTACCTTCAATTACACTGTTAGTTATACTCTCTTAATTTTATGATAAGCTATGGCGAGGCCGTCCAATCTTATGGAACCCATGCCTGGCTATCCTGTTCATACATACGATAGTATAAAATATAGCCAAAATTTAACCTTTCGGGTTCCAGCATGTGCGTGGCATTGGGCCAGACCGTCCAATCTTATGGAACATATCTGGTCCTTTCCCATGTTCGTTTCTCTCTGATCCACTGTGTATTGCATGAGTCCAAGGCCGTCCAATCTTATGGACATGCCCTGCCATCAACACGAATTATCCCCTCAGAATAAAACAGGAAGGGGTTGAGCCGTCCAATGTTATGGACTTGCTCAAACCTCCTCCATCAAAAACAAAAGAAACAGAACAAACCCCAATCAGATACGGCAACCAAACCCTCCAATCTTATGGTACAGGTTTGGCCCCTGAAAAGTCAGCCACAGTCAAACCCTCACAATTCATAGCAATCTGGCCGTCCAATCTTATGGAACTGGTCTGACTCTCCATGCAATTCAAAAATAAAACACAGCGGTCAGGCCGTCCAATCTTATGGAACTGGTCTGACCCTATAGGACCCATTCAGGCTCAAGCAAAACTACCTTTCACCCACCCTTCCCCCAGATGCAACCCCTTGTGTTCACAATCTGCCTTCAGGCAATCAACAAACTGAAACTGCGACTGCACACACATTTCTTTATTAAATCTGACTTGTATCCTGCCAGTCAATCCAAAGTCAAAATAGGGGTGCACGCAACATACTCAGTCAAACATAGCAAGATGTTCACGTAGGGGTTATACCAGGGTATATAGAGGGGCAATAATTGGTCAACTTTCAGTTCCCTGCCTCCAGAGCCTCACGTAGGCTCCGGCAGAGCTCCCGAAATCGGTGGGGTAGCCTCCCACGAAGGCCTCGGCGCGGATTACGGGTTACAATCCCGCCTGCCGCCTTCCTCTCAGAACCAAATAGACTAGACTTAGAGGAAGAAGGGCAGAAGTAGAAATTTTGAGTCTCTCAGATCCAGGAGAGGTGCCTCAGACTCGCATGAGAGGGCCTTGAAACTTTTCCAGATGAACCCCCACCCTGCAGCAACAACCCCTCTCCCCTCAACCTTACTTCTTCAAGCCACAATCAACAACCCTGCTTCGCGACCCAGTCAACTCCCTTATACAACCCTTGGCTACCTAGCATAAACTGTATTCCTACTGCTCCAAGCAGACATTGCGCTTCTTCTCAGCCACTCGTTACGTGTCCTTCCTGCGCATTACACTTCACACGCAACCTTCGGGCGCGGTAGCTCCGGCGATTTGTGCAGCAGCACCACCAGGCTAGCGGGCAGCTTTCCGGTTCTGCCCCTATCTGCACATTGCCCCTACCAGGTAAGCCTGCGACCAACAACACGCTCAGCCTACTACATCGGACAGCAATAGCCATGGCCCATTCTGAGTCACCCTGCATGCCGACCTTCACCCTGC